TGTTCTTCTCCCTCAGCAGCACAGAGATTAGAGAAGAGACTACTTTCACTACCGAGTCCATGACATCTGCCAATTCAGCTCACATATCTTTGGCAACAAGTGACTCCCTGTGTAGCATGCAGTGCGTCCAAATCACTTGCGGAGACACATCCCTTACAAGCGCGATTAGTCCACTTTTTTCAGTTTGTTAATGTCAATATCATTCCCATACATTGTTTTACAAATATCGGTTGCTGAAGACAATATTAAATCCTCTGCAAGTGTGTATGGCTGTTTCTTCTGGGCAATCCAAAGAGCAATTTGATAAGAGCATTTCAAAGCTAGCTCACCAACTTTGGCTGATTTTCTGATCAATATCTGTTGACCTTGGACGGATTTGAGGCTAGCTTGGAAGTATTCAACAGGTTTGTCTTTTAAGTGGCTGTGTGTTGTCTCCAAGTGACGCTGCAGCTTTGATGGCTTCATAGATTCATTTGAAAGAACAGTAGAGCAAATGACACACATTGGAAATTCAATGCCATCTGTCTCCTTAAAGGTAAAACCAAACTTCAGATAATTATCTGCATATTTTCGTGTCTTCTCTCGTTTGCGCTTACCCTTATTAGCTGCTACATCAGCAGCAGGTTCCGCCTCGTCACTTGCATGTTCACTGGTGGTTTCTGAGGTGGATGGTATCTCTCTTGTGCTTGTGGATTTTTTTGGTCGAGTTACAAAACGATCAATTTTTATATATATATATAAAGGTATGGTCTTCTCAATAATATCGCAGCGTGCGTCCTTGTGTCTGGGTCCTTAGTAAACTGGGGACTGAATAGGCTCTCGGCCAATCACGGGGAACCTGACAGAGCCAGTGTGTGTCATGCGGCCTCATGATTGGCACAGCAGCGATAGGGGCGGGTCCTCCCTTTTGTGTACAGGAGGCCTGGTAGGACAGGTCCGGGGTAGTCTCCTGCTGTGAGTGAACCGGCGCCTAGCTTGAGATAGCTACTGTGTGTAGCTGAATGTGTGCATTGCTGACTGAAAGATAACGTCTTCTGCCTCCATTTCTCAGTTCGCTACAATATGTTGGATTCATGTTAATGTGCATTTAAAGACATTTCAATTTGTGGGAAATAAATGTTTGGGAAAAAAAAGAAGAAATTTAAGAAATATAAAAAATTGTCTAATCAACCAAAGATTTTGCGACCCCCCCTGCAGTACCTCCGCGGACCCCCTGGGGGTCGCCGACCCCCTGTTGAAGACCTCTGCTGTAGGACAATCAAAATCACAGATGTAAAAATCATAAGAAATGTTTTTCTGCACGCCCCAAAGGACCTAAAGCGCTTACGTTTTTTTCCTTTTTAATACATATTTTATCAGTGACAGGGTGGTTCAGGGGCCAAAATATGGGTTTAAATTATTTGGCTCCAGGGTGTATCCACCTTTTCTAAATGTGTTCCGGAAAAGACTGTGGCCCCCTGTTATTAAGTGCACGGAACATTGAGATATTGTTTTATCTGTTGGTTAAATTATTATTTGCACTGTTTAGACTTTTCCTAGAAGTTCTTAAAAGAGCATCTAGACCAGTGGTTCTAAAATGGGGGTACGCGGACCCCTAGGGGTACGTTGGAGTACTGCAGGGGGTACGTGAGATTTATTTTATGTTGAGCAGTGTGGGTTTTATATTAACAGAGTTACACATATTTCAAAACGCGAAGTGTAATAACTGCAGTGGCCTTCCTGTCACTGAGAATAACAAGGATCCTCAGTGAAGCTCAAGCCCATGTTTCTCACTAAATTGTAAGTACAACTTATTAAAAAGATCAGTTAAATGCAACTAATGTCGTCTTAGTGTTATTGCATGATGTTAAAATTGGTTTGCCATGAATTTAGTGATGGTTTGTAAACATTTGAAATGTAGCATTTAAGTGTTTCTCAGTTACAAGGTTGTTGTTTTAATAAATCAGACACCGATGGTGCAGCACTGTACTGTACCTCTTTATATAGGCATTTCCTCCTTAACACATTTTTTTTTGCGCTGATCAGGGGGTACTTGGCTGAATTTTTTTTTTCAAAAGGGGGTACATTATTGAAAAAAGTTTGAGAATCACTGATCTAGACTGTGTGAAAATCAAACTCACTAAGTGGCAGCTTCAGACGAGAAGTACCTGCACAGGGCTTAGTGCAAGCAATAAATCACACAAACACGCATACAGTATACCGTCATCCAGACCTTCTCATTACAGCCCTGACTCATACAGAAACTCTGCAGGTGAGCTAATACATCCGTAGTGTGTTTGTGTGTGTACATGTGAGACTATTTTGGCTAAATGAAAACATAATACTGTCTATAATTTGAAAATTAAATATGATGCGTATCGTCTGGCTTTCATTTGCGAGAAACGTGAAGTTGCTAAAAGAGGTTTCATTTGACATTTGTAGAGTCAACAGCAGTAAACATATTGTCAGACAAGAATACTTGACTAATTTCCCATCTTAATTTATTTCAAAATGTTACATGTTCCTATCCAGTTAGTGTTTGGGTGGCAAACTGGAGACATGCTGAGACACGTTTCTGTTTTGAAGTAGGCATTTGGAAGGGAACCTCTCCTTAACCGATGTCTGACAGTGATTGAGATGGATCGGAGGGAGGGGAAGGAAGGAGGGAGAGACATGGGGAGAGAGGGAGAGAGCCATGGGCTATAAGAGGGGGGGTGAGGGTGTGTCTGGGAAATGGAGTTGCTTAACATCAAAGATAACCCTATTCAGGACTCAGCAGAGACCGTGCATTAGTCCGGGAGACACTCTACTTTATCATTGGCTCTTCCTGTTTGGCGGAAGCCTTACCCTTTTAAGGTTGTGTTAAAACACAGATACGCACTGTAACAAATTAGAAGTCAACATCACCTCATGGCCTCCCACATGACGCAAACCCACACACTTCGACCTCACACTGGTCCAGGTTAATAAAAAACATACAAATTCCACCAAGCTCTTTCAAAAACCTTTGATTCTACGAATGTAAACTCTGGTCGAATAAGAAACTATTTGTCAGCCTTACATTATTACCATTGACCGCAAATCTCAGGACTTATTGTACATACTTTAGGAGAGCATTAATAAACAATATCAAGATTATTGAAAACCAGATCTAATAATTAGCTAAGTCTACAACTTTCAAATGTCGCCTACCTGAATGAACACATTGAGTAAAGTTAGAGATGCAATGATTGATATCTGTGGCCCATTGGAAGCATTAGCGAGTAGCAGAAAAAACAATAGTCACATATGATAAACTTATGAAGTTTCACCTAGTTTTTCTGTCTGCCGTTTTGTACTTGGAAGGTATTGTACAAGAGATGTACTTTCTTTGCTGCCTTCTGCATGTTGCTTAGAGCAGATCAAGTCAGAAAATGTAAAGAATGATCCACAGTATACTAAAATGCTAAAAATAGAGCTTAAGGGGATTCTAGAAGTTTGTGGTATTCCTCGGATGATTCGTCAACTTTTTTAAATGCAGTCTCTTCAAATACTTGTAAAAACATCTTTAAAAGGTTATTTTTGAAAGAGTACCCCAACAATTGAATACTGATCCTATAGCATTTTCTGACTCACGTGGACAGAATAAAATGGTATGTAGCAGAACCACAACCATGTCATCTTTTTTCCTTAAGCATTCTTCTTCCATGTCAATATCTAGCGCCTACATTACCGACATGCAACATTCCAATTATGGATGTATAAAGACAACTGGATTAACGTTTGGAGGTTGGGCCTATTCTTTCCAAAGAGAGTTGTTCAGTGGAGCCTAAAGCCAAAATATCCCGACTCTTAAAAACTAAAATACCCGATATTCCCTGGATCTTACATAGGTGTTCCAGCAGTCTTCGGCATCCACTGTGCCAATAGAGCATTTGCGTTTTCTTTTAAACCGCCCTCCCTATTGCAACGTCACATCCAGTCTCTGCTAAATCAAATCAATCAATCAATCAATCAATGTTTATTTATATAGCCCAATATCACAAATGTTACATTTGTCTCAGTGGACTTTACAGTTTGTACAAAATATCAGTATGACAATATGACACCCTCTGTCCTTAGACCCTCACATCGTACAAGGAAAAACTTCCAAAGAAAACCCACAGTTTAAAGGGAAAAATGGGAGAAACCTCAGGGAGAGCAACAGAGGAGGGATCCCTCTCCCAGGACGGACAGACGTGCAATAGATGCCGTGTGTAAATTGAAAAGATAATACATTTGCAACATAGGTAGTCCAAATGTTTGGAAATGCATGTGTGTATAATAGGAAAATGAATCCACGAGGATATCCATCCAGGACCTATGATCCAGGACCACAGCCACGATTCAAGATCCAGGGCTCGCGATCCAGGACAGAGGAGCGCAGGATCATCCATGACTCCGGATCCCGGCGTATATAGACACCAAAAGAAAGACATTTGGGGAAGCTGGGTTAATCGGAACATGAGAGTACACAGGTATAGACAGAGAGAAGGAAGAAGTAAGATGTCCCCCGACAAACTAAGCCTATATCAGCAAAACTAGGGGCTGAATCTAATCAGCCCTAACTATAAGCTTTATCAAAAAGGAAGGTCTTAAGCGCACTCTTAAAAACGGATAGGGTGTCTGCCGCCCGAACACAAACTGGAAGCTGATTCCACAAATGTGGAGCTTGATAAGAAAAGGCTCTGGCTCCCATTGTACTTTTAGTACAATGAATGGAAAATGAATGGAAAGGGAAAATAACTCTTGATTCACATAAATACAAATGTTATACTCATTGAAAAATGTCTCTTTCCAAATGTACCTTTATGGGATAAAGTATTTTTGGGCCCAATGCTATCGCATGACTGACAAGGAAGTTGCTATACCACTGTTCAACCACTACCAACATTTGCTTCAATGTCCGGCCGCACTTCCTGGGCGCTTTATTTCAGTTGGATATTTAGTTAATTATTTCTAGTAGCAGCTTATGATTAAACATGTGTTGGTCTCTCTTTCAGAACAGAGTCAACCACAGAAGGCCACACCGCCAACCCCAGTCAACGGAGGTAAAGAAAAAGAAAATGTATCACCACCTTCAGAAGGAGAAAAGAAAACAGGTGAGTAAATGTATGCTATGCCTGTACAGTACATGTGTACTTATACCTTAACTTCCATTTTATTGGGTGTGGTAGGAATACATTAGTGTAACCAACAGGTCTAAACCTCACACATCCATATATCTTAGTCTGACTGGTGAATGGTTCCAGCTTATACAGGAACAAATATGTCAGTGGTAGTAAATCACTATCGATTCAGCAGGTTCAATATCGGGCAGATTTGCATGAAGAAGCCTGACAAGTACAAGCCTGCTTAACAGTAAAGTAAATCACAATTATGTTACAAGAATATCCTCAGTAATAGTTTAACTAAATTGTTTGTCTTCGGTTGACGAAAAGACGCAAGACCTTAAACAATACCAGCTAGAGAAGCTTTATACTACAACAGTTGCCTCAAGTCAAAGCATTTTCTTTTTTACTCTCAAAACTCTTCAAACTCAATTGTAAATTCAACCTTCTAGTAAGTATATCAAATAGTGCTCTGCTTTTAACCATATCTTGTTCAGTCAAAGTTTGATTATCACAGCATTTGGATAGACTACGGTTAACATAGTGGTTTATGTTTTTTTAGACTTTGCTCATATTGTATGCTGTCATTGAGTAATATGATTTAATAAAAATGGAGCTATTTCAATATATCTAACATTTTATTGTATAGCTTTTGTTGGAGATTTAAAGGGATATCTGATCCGCTTTTCAAATCTCCGCGCGTTCCTATGAAGCTGGTTATAATACAGGAAGGAATCCATATCTACAAAGTAACCGTTAACAATAATCTACTTTAATGGCAATATGACAATGCAATACAATCATTACAATACAACATGATATATTACAGTTATATTGTAATGCTTAAGGAGTAATGCCGGCTTACTCCTGCCCTAGTCCGCATACTGCAGAGCTACTTTCACCCGAGGGCAGCATGTGAAGAAGAGGCCGAACGCCAGGGATCCACCGGAGATATACCAGAGTAAGAAGGAGGGGTTTGGTGTTAGGTCAGCTGGTCATCTTTTCAGGTCATCTCATTGGGAGACGCAACGCTGGCCAGCAGGAAACCAAACAGGCTCACTTTACAACAAAAGGTCTCAAGGCCTGCATACCTACACCTCCCCCACAGAGCAATAAAACCCTGTTTACTCCAACCAGCCCAGAATGTTTATAGCCATTTGTAGTCCTTACATTTATGAAAGGATAAAACAGAGAAATCAATATAAAACACAAACACAGGTATTGTTTGAACAGTATTCACTTAACTGCTACTGTTGATAAGCACCAGAGAAACCCAAGGGACCTCTCTTAATATCACAACCACTGTAGCTTGTTCTAAGTTGAATGCAAATCAGGACATGCTCTCACCTTCCCCCATCTTCCTTTGTCCTCAAAACACATGTCAACAGGCCCCAAATGCAGCTCACAGTTTTACCCAAATTATTCCCATTTTAAGCTTATCCATAGTTTGCTAACATGAATAAATACAAATATAACTCTACAAATCCCCCTTTTTATCTCCTTCTCCAGAGATAAACTTAGACAAGGCATTTTGAAATATACCCACTGTCATTCTTTTCTACTGTGTCCGTAAATCCATCCGAAGCTGGTATTTAGAGCACTTGAAACCTTCATGGAGACCGAACACCACTTTCCATGGCAGTGAAGGAACCATGAGGGGGTAGCTGAGTGCTAGAATCATCACCCCCCCCCCCCCCTCGGAGGAATAGCCCACAAGGACAGCTAATAGGGAGGGGGAGATGCAGCTTTCCCTTCACGGGTAGAACTGATCAGAGCGAAGTAGACTCCTCTGCTGCGCCGTCCCGGCTTGCCGTGTCTTTGTCCACCCAATCCGCTGACAGCAGCTTCTGGGCTGCCTGCTAGAGAGATGTCTTCCTCCTCCTCGTCCTCCGGCCCGCTGATGGCGGCTTCCGGGTCGATGCTGTAGAGATGTCTTCCCGATCCTCCTTCTCCGGCCCGCTGATGATGCCTCCCGGGTCGTCTGCTGTAAGGATGTCTCCAGGGTCCTCCTTCTCCAGTCCGCTGCTTCCGAGTAGTCCACGTCTGCCAGGGCCACGTCCGTCCTGATGTCGTCCCCTGGTCCTAGTAGGTGGTTTCCCCGCCGCACACTGGCTCCCGTGGTACGAGCTGTCCCCCTTTTCTCCCAGGCAGACGGCATAAGAGGTCCGCTGGGTCACTCGGTCGGGGTCGGAGAGCCTGGGGTTGAGCCACTTTGTCCTCGTGCTTCTCGGGTCCCCCTTTTGGCGCCAGTGACCTGTGTGGAGAAATCTGATACAACTCCCTCAAGCCTACGCTCAGCTGTTTTGCCCCACTTGGAGCCTCTTGGTGGGGTGTCTTGAAACAACAGCCGTCTGTAAACAGGTTTTCCAAATTAATTGTAGACCTCCTATCTGCCAGTGCAGCTTCAGAATCTTAATACTTGGACTGTGCCAACTAAATAAGAACCCCAACATCTTTAGGTAAACTAAATAACATATTTCAATAGCTCTGAATTTCTGACAAGCATCCGTGTTTATTTTTAAATGAAATCCTATTTAAAACCCAAATATAATATGAACTGCTAATGTTTCTGGCAAAGAAACACACTAATGTTATGGATTCAAAAACAACCAAAATCATGATACTAACAAAGTGAATGATTTCCTGGTGATACTGCTTCTACCTGTCAGTGCTTAGATATTATCACGCTGAAAAAATGAATACAGAATTCCAACAAACTGTCATCAAATGTCTTTCTATTCTAAATTTAGATGAAATGTATATCCCCATACTGACCTAAACAATAAAGTCTATGGCTTTTACTCCTTTACCAGGCTAGTTACATGATGTTGTCTAAATTAAATTCTGTCTCAATACACTACTATGTTTTAGCTTTAACTGTAATATGTTCTTTCTACATTTCAAACCTCAGTTACTCTAATGTCTGTTAAAATATTACAAAATTGTTTCATTATCACAGGTCAACTTCTTCGGTTTCACAGTAGCCCCTTGGCCACTGCTTCTGTGTTACCTGTTATAATTCAAATCAATATTTAGAAACATCTCAACCTTCATCAAACAGTATCTTATCCCCAGATATGGAGCAGGTTAATTACATTCAATGCTCAGTTTGAACATCTGGGTTGGGGCGGAAGGTTTCTGTCAATCCTTAAAAGAAAAATTTAAATTGTGAATTTTACAGCCATGTTAACATTTATACATTATACTCACTCCCCCCTTTTACACATGAAATAATGTGTAACAAAAGCCTGTAATGGGAGGGGAACAAAAACTGTCAGGTAATTGGTTAGGGACATAACGAACATTATTATCATTATTTCCACAGTGAACACTTCAGTGAAAAGAAGTGTTCCTCTCCGTCCTTCAGGCCTAAAAGAAACAGAATCTTCAGATTGTAGTTTTACATTTGCAAACCGCCAACTCATGTGAGAGGAAAATATCACATGTGCGGTTTCCCCTTTTTGTGGAATTTTTAGGAAACCTCTCGTTTCCCTTGGAGCTCCAAAATAATATGTTAGTCCAAAAACATGCTTGGTTAGTTATTGTTTTAGAATCATGCAGTTACACTGATCACATGCCGGCATACATTCACACTCACACTGTCTGGTTGTCATGTCAAGTTTGGTCAGGTTCACCCCAGAGTCAGTCATCCACAGTGCCTTGTCAAGTTACACTGTCGGTCAGGGTCAAAGGTCAGTTGGTCTCCGTCTTTTTTGGCCATGTGTCGTGCTCTGCAGAGACTTTGACATTTCAGCATAGGCCAGTATCCTTTGTCTACAAAAATATGTCACGATTTCAACTATAATTTTCAAGATGATTCTCACTTGTCATTGGGACTTCCGCCTCCCACTTTTCCTGAAACTTGGTACAAAACTCACTTCCTTCGAGTACCACTACTAATTAAAATGTCTAATGATCTATTTCAGAAACTTTTGTACAATAACTATTATCTTGAGTCAAAACATTACTAGGATCCGTGTCGCTCTGCATTTCATAGCTCATTATAATTCTGGTCTACTTAAAAAACGATGTTAAACTCTTTAGCAGTGTGTGGAACCTTGGGTGTCCGAACATGCAACAATTACTCCCTCCTTTATCAAGGATTTAAAACCGAAGTCTGGTAATAACTATGCCACAATGGTGAAATCAACACTTTAGATTGGAATTTAATATGTGGCTTGGCACTAGCCATTAATACAAACAAAGATTTGTCCTATAGAGTGGTTCCTAAAACTATCCTTTTAATGGTGATCAATATTGTAACCAATGAGATCACTACTTTATTCACACGTGAATAAAAATGTCTTAAAGAATGAATTGTTAACATGATGAAAATATTGAAGAATATGGTTATACTCTGTCAGTGTGTTTTAGGATGATTATCATTTTACTTTAATAGTTTCCTCTTTACTGCTATTTTTAATTTACCAAATGATTAATAAATCTTTCTGTCTTTACGTATTTATGAAGTTAATTCAAGTTATTTAAATGTGCGTTTCGTGAATAAGTGTGTTTATGTATAACTCACTCATTCCCGGTCTCCTTTCCTCCTCCCCTGGTTTTCTCAAGCCGTGACCCCGGCCTCCTCACTTCTAATCGACCCTGCCAACTCCTCTGATTCTGTCTTCTCTTCAGTCCATCAGCTGTTGAATCCATCCGCTGTAACTTTTGTAGGCAGCCATTGGCCCAGTCACATCTGCAGCCCCATCATGCCACTGTTGTTGCACTCCTCCTTTACAGTCTCTCTGCTGTTTTTATGGAGGGCGGATTCTGCTCTCATGTCTATTGTGCCAAATCTCGCGGCGCAGTTTGGAACTTCATGTCCTGTTTGAGGGACCGATGAGAGTATCTCTCTGTATGTCAGCATGCTGGTTTGGTTCTGGATGCCACAGGTGGAGATAGTTCTGGCTGCAGTCTTGTTGTTGTTGTTGGTTCAGCTCTGGTTCTCTGTCTGTACGATGGAGAAGGAGGAGTCTCCTGTTGGGTTAGGT